TTTTTTTTTTTTTAATAACTGCTTTATTAGGATATAATTCACATACCATAACATTCATTTTTAAAGTACACAATTCAACAGTTTTTATATTCACCAAGTTGTGCAACCATTACCACCATTTTAGAACATTTTTTTCCTTAAGGTTTTATTTTCAAGTAATCTCTACACCCAGTGTGGGGTTTGAACTCACAACCTCGAGATCAAGAGTCGCTTGCTCCACCAAATGAGCCAGCCAGGCGCCCCTAATTTTAGGACATTTTCATCGCCCACAAAAAGACACCCCATGCCCATTAGAAGTCATTTTCCATTTCCCTTTCCCCCAGCCCCCAGCTGCTAATCCACTTTTATTTCTATGGATTTGCTTAGTCCGGTCATTTCCTATAAATGGAATCATATAATATGTGGCCTCTTGTGACCGATTTTTTTCATGCAGCATAATGGTTCATATGTGCTATAGAACAGGCCCATACTCCCCATTCCTTTTTATGGCCAACTAATATTCCTTTGTATGGTTACACCACATTCTGCTTCATTCATCTGTTGGGCATGTAGATTATTCTCACTTTTTGGTTATTATAAGACTGCTATGAACATTCATGTGTAAGTGTTGGTGTGGATGTATGTTTCATTTTCTTGAGTATAGACCTAGGAGTGGAATTGCTGGATCACGTGGTAATCTGTTAAACATTTTGAGGAACTTTCTCAAAGTGGCTGCACCATTTCACAACCCCACCAGCAATGTATGTGGGTCCGAATTTCTCACCAACACTTATTTTCCTTTTTTTTTTTTTTTTTTAATTAGAGCCTTAATAGTGGGTGTGAAGTGGTATTTCATTGTGGTTTTGATTTGCATTTCCCTAGTGACTAATGATGAGCATCTTTTCTTTCTTTCTTTTTTTAATGTTTATTTATTTTTGAGAGGGAGAGGGAGAGAGAGAGAGAGAGAGAGAGAATGTAGCTGAGGGGAAGAGAGATGAGACAGAGGACCTGAAGCGGGCTTTGCACTGACAGCAGAGAGCCCCATGCAGGGCTCAAATTCACAAACCATGAAATCACGCCCAGAGCTGAAGTCAGACACTCAACTGACTGAGCCACCCTGGTGCCCCGATGAGCATCTTTTCATGTATTTATTGGCCATTTGTACATCCTCTTTGGAGAAATCTCTATTCATACCCTTTGCCCATCTTTAATGGGTTATTTTTTTATTATTATTGAGTATAAGACTTTATAATATTCTGACTTTATAAGACTTTATAATAGTCTCTTATTGGGTATATGATTTGCAAATATTCCATTTCTTGTCATTGTCTTGATAGTGTCCTGTGAAGCACAAAAGTTTTTAATTTTGGTGAAGTCCAACTGATCTATTCTTTGATTTCTGATGCTTTCAGTGTCATATCTTAATATACTGTTGCCTAATCCAAGGTGACAATGATTTACACCTTCTATTTTCTTCTATGAATTTGGATTCAATTTTGTATGTGGTGTGAGGTAGGAGTCCAAATTCATTCTTTTGCATGTGGATATTCAGTTGTTCCAACACTATTTATTGAAAAGACGTTTATTGAAAAGACTGTTCTTTCCCCCATTGAACTGTCTGTGGCCCTTCTTAAGCTGGTCCTCTCTCAATCCTGTGGCTTTATCTTCTGCCCCATCCCTCCTCCAGCTTGCCCTCCATCTCCTGTCCCACTAAATGATTTGCGTTTTCCCAGATGAACCATGTTCTTTCTCACCTCTTGCCTACTTCTCAGCATGCTGTTTCTTTTACTGGAAAATCTCCCTGACCTTCTCCCCACATTACCTGGCTATCTTCTCTAATTATCTGGCAGGTCTAGGCTTAGATATTGTATTTTCCAAGAAGCTTTTCCTAAGCCCCCAAGAATGTTTTAGGAAAAGCAGATCTGTGCTTCCAAAAGACCATGTACTTAACCCCACAGGGGCTTTTTTTGTGTGCCTCGCACTCAGCAAATATCCAATAAATGGATGAATCCCAGAAGGAAGAAGGCTGTTTCTAGAAGAAACACTAGTGAGTATTGTATATTGCTACAGAGAGTTAAGGGGAATGAGCTCTGAAAAAATGCAGCTGGGTTTTGACTATTTTTGTCATTGCAACTAGGGAAGAGTTTCAGTAGCTTGGTGGGTGTAGACACCAGTGGGGGAGTTAAGGAGTGAATTGCTGATGACAAAGTGAAGTTTTAGTTACAAACTATTTATGTCCAAGTTTGTGAGGAAAGGAAGAAACTCATGGACACTATGAAACAGCTTAAAGGATAGAGTTAAGGGTTTAGTTTTATTGCTATCGGTCCATCTACCACTTTTCTGAATTTCAGAGAATTTGACTTCTTTTTTTAAATGTTTATTTTTGTATTCTGAGAGAGAGAGAGCATGAGGAGGGGAGTGGCAGAGAGAGAGAGGGAAAGAGAGAATCCCAAGCAATCTCCACACCATCAACGCAGAGCCTGACACAGGGCTCGAACTCACGAATCGTGAGATCATGACCTGAGCCAACATCAAGAGTCCAACACTTAACTGACTGAGTCACCCAGGCGCCCCCAGAGAATTTGACTTCTAACGAGGGTCACTTTCTAGGCTACTTATGCTGTCAGTTTTAGGGACACCCCATGATTTCCCCACTTACCCTCCTACTACCACATTACATCTCCCCACCTCTGACTGTGTGTCAATATATGTGTTTATACGCACACACACAAACACTCTGTGCTCATCTCAGCATCCCCCAAATCTAAACATTCTGGGAGTGACCAAGGCCATTGTCCAAGTTGGGCTAAGCTATATTTGCTCCCAGAAAACGATAACCTATAAGAATCACCTTATAAGGCATCCAGCCAGCTCAGTCCATAGAGCATGCAACTCTTGATCTCAGGCTCATGAGTTCAAGCCCCATGTTGGGTGTGGAGCCTACTTAAAATAATAAATAAATAAACATAAAAAGTTTTACATATATATATAAATTCATATATATATATACATATATATGTATGTATGTATATGTATATACATATATGTATATATGTATATATATATGTATGTATGTGTGTGTATATATGTATATATATGTATGTATATATATGTGTATATATATATATATATATGAATTACTTGTTTGGGGAGAAAAAGGAACAGGTCTCTTAATATCATGGTGGCACCAAAAGCATCATAGAGTCTTCTCTCCCTGCCCCTCATTCCCTGACATCTATCTCCCCATGTCACTCAGGCTGGAATGGAACAGCTTCACAACTTTAATTTTTCACATCCTTAGTGATTTATCTCCAACTCTGAGCTGCTTCTATATCTTTGGGATTTTCCTCCCAGAGGTAAATATGCCTGATTATGAGACCGCCAACCTGATTAGCTTTCACCACCAGCCTTACACAGCTCACATCGTACCCCATACTTTTGAATATCTCCTGATTCACCTGCCCTTCCAAGAGATGGCCCAGCAAGGCAAAGCTGGTACAGTATTGAGGCATTCCCTCGGGGTCATAGCCCAGCTCCACTTGCCCCTTCTCTAGGGCATGCTTTCCATCCACGATGGTGCCTGTCAACACTTGCACTCTGCTCAAGTTCGCTGGATGCTTCAAAATGACCGTCAGGTGGTTCCCTGCACTAACATTTTGGGTCCAGAAGAATGACTCATCCAGAGTGTAGGCCTTCCAGGGGAAATGAACATCAAAAACCTTCATATCTGTGAAAATGGCTGCGGGTGGGTTGTCAGGACCATAGGGGTTCTTTCTCCGGACTGGCGTGGCCTTCTGACTGTCATTGGAGGTATAGTAGGAGAACCTGTGGTAGAAAAGGAACGGTCTGCAGAGGATTGGGTTTTTCTGAGCTAGGAGGGTACGGAAGTGGGGGATCAGTCTGTCAAGGGGCTTTTCCTTGTAGAAGAGGAGGAGGAAATGAGCCAGGAGTGGGAGGTCCCTGCTGTGGAAGAGTTTGCCGAGGAAGCCCATATTAGAGAACTCCAGTAGCACCCATGGGTTGGACCTCATTGTGTCCACCTTCCAATGAATGTGGGTGATAAAGTTGGGGGCACAAAGGACATTGTCCTCCAGTAACAGGAAGTATTCAGAGAGCTTTGCGGCAAAGCTCATGAGGAAGGCATGATCTCTATTCTGCTTGGAGTAGAATTCCCCACGGTGGGCCTCCTTCCTCGTGTCATCCGTGGTGCGGTAGGCATCAGATGGAGTATGAATCAGTAGCAGCTTCCCTGACAAGATCTGTGGGCTGAAGAGGGTTGAAATATGGGCAATGGTTTCTCTGAGACCGGTGAGGTCAGAATGTGCCAGATGAACCAGTACTGTGAGACGTTTCTGCTCGATCTTAGAGGAAGCACGGAACAGAGAGACCAGGGTGTACAAGAGGCCGCTTTGATCTGGTCGTGGCACTGAGGAGATCCCCACTGTCAGCCACGCTAAGGAGAGGCAAAAGAGGGACAATTGTCAGAGTACGTCGGGTTTGGTAGTGAAGGTAGTCAAAGGGTTAAGGGTTGGGATGCTCTCTGGGACCTTCTCTGTTCCTTTCTTCCCTCTTCTAGTTCCCATCTGTGCTCTCTTTTGGTAGAGGGGGTGTTTAGATCATTGCTGCTCAGAATATGGTCCTTAGTCCAACAACATCAATCTTATCTGGAAGCTTATTGGAAAAGCAGAATCTGGGTTCCTAGATAAACTGCCTTTTAACAGTATCACCAAGTACCTTCAATGCACGTTAAAGTCTGAGAAGCACTAAACTAGGTGATGCTGAGTCCCTGTGGGTCCCTTTGAGTCGTCTTTGAGCCAGAATTTTGTAGCACATGGTTTAAGTGCTCAGGAGTATTAGCTAACATTATAGTTACTATAATTCTTTTTGTTTTACAGTTCACCTTCCCAAAGCTCAGCTTTAGGTGAAAGGAAAAGTGCTTCTCCAAAAGTCAAGAGCCCTACGTTCTTGTCCCAGTTCCACCACTGACTGTGTGACCTCGAGCAAGTCCCTTCACTCCTGAGCTTCGGTCCTGATTCACAAAACTGAGGGATTTGGACTATGGCTCTAAGGCCCTTCTAATCCAAATGTTCTCTAATCCGGTGATTCTGCCTTCCTGTAACAATGATCTTTTCCCTCCTTCTTCCTCATTCCTGAACTGTCTGCCAGATTCCAATATTCCTGGGAGCAGTCCTGCCTTTTTTCCTCTCCCTTCTTCTTTCCTTCCTAGCTACCTTCTCCCTGATGTCCCTACTTCCCTCAGGGTACCCCACTCCCCTCCTTGGAACTCACTCTTTCTTCTCTGCTGAATTGTCTTAATATACTGGAAGGTATGATTCTGCCAGCCTTCCAGCAGTCTCACATCTTTTCTTTTGCCATAACTGTCCTCCTAGATCATTGACAAAAAGCAAAACATGTACCTCCTTTCATAAAAAGAAGAGTGTTTAGCCCCCTAGAGGATTCTCATAAGCTTTTCCAGGAAAGAGGAACTCTCCCTAGAGTGAGCCCAGCACATTCTCGGGATGCCTGACCACTGGCCAAAGCAATGAGGGCTCGAGCACTATATGCTCTCTTCCTTACCTTAACAAATATTGGGGTTGGGGGAGCAGCTTCTTTATGGACCGATGGGTCCAGGTTCATATCCCAACTCCCTTTGGAGCTTCCTGCTCGCAGGTGCAAGGGAGCAGGTGCTTTGAGAATCTACCTGTCCACACCATTCCCTCCCTACATCCTCAATTCCCACACTGAGAGCAAGGGTTGCTACTTGGCCTTTGAAAGCCATCACGTTCTGAACATCTTCAGTTTCCCTGGGGGTTTTCAAAGTGACGAGGAGCCACAGGAATCCAATGCCCACTGAGGTTATGATGCCGCGCCTGATGGAACACCGCATGGTGTCTGATGGGATACGGTTCCTATAGGAAAAAGTCAACATGTAAAGCAGCTGGGGACTCTCCCCATCCATCCATCCATCCATCCATCCATCCATCCATGCCTAGAACTTCTCCTTTGTCTCCTGGAAGCTTTCCCCCTCACAATCCCCCATATTCTATCCTTCCCCTTCATCATTGTTAACTTATTTCCAAAGCCTGCCTTCTTATCTGAGTTGGGGACCTGATGGAATATAGCCTTATTCCCTGACCTAAAGAAGGAAGGTCACCTGTCCTGTGGCCTTTGTTGCTTTCTCTTTATAGGTTTGTTTGGAGATTCAACTTTCCCAAAGTTTTCCCTTTTCAAATTTTTTTTTTCAACGTTTATTTATTTTTGGGACAGAGAGAGACAGAGCATGAACGGGGGAGGGGCAGAGAGAGAGGGAGACACAGAATCGGAAACAGGCTCCAGGCTCTGAGCCATCAGCCCAGAGCCTGACGCGGGACTCGAACTCACGGACCGCGAGATCATGACCTGGCTGAAGTCGGATGCTCAACCGACTGCGCCACCCAGGCACCCCAGTTTTCCCTTTTCAAAATGATGAAGGTCAGCTGGGGCTTCAGTGATGAGGCTCCTTTATCTTAGGAAACAGATGGCCACCACCTACCCTTGCTTTTTTAAACAAAAGTCAGTTTATTAAAATAGCTGAACTTGGGGTGTCTGGGTGCCTCAGTCGGTTAAGTATCCAACTCTTGATTTCGGCTCAGATCATGATCGAGCCCTGCACTGGGCTCTGCACTGACAGTGTGGAGCCTGCTTGGGTTTCTCTCTTTCCTTCTCTCTCTGCCCGTCCCCTGCTCGCTCGCTCTCTCAAAATAAATAAAATAGCTGAACTTAAAGTATTGCTAAATACTAAGCAATGTGGTGCCTTTATTACTCTTTAATAAAGGATATCCTTAATTTATTCCAACCTTTAATCTCATTCACATACCTTGATCAGAACATGAATCTGTTAACTTAGAATGAAAAAAAATCCTTTCATGAATGTTGAGCTTTGACTTCAGGCTTATTCAGCCTCAAAAGCACTTGTCTACTGCTCTCTTCCTCTGTTAGTGCCTTTTCTCCGGTGAGAATGTATTTCCCTGGTTGTTTCTAAATGATCAAAGGAAAGGTTTTAATATGCCTCGTCACCTGCTCTTGATTCTGTCCCCTTATACAGTCAGTACACAAAAGAAAAGAAATTGCAATTGATAATTTCTGTGCTCCCGAGGCTATAATATTCTCCAATCTCCCTGTTTTCTGGATCCTGCCAGTGCAGCATTTTGATAGAGGTTAATACCCTTCTCTCCCTTAGCCATTTAGCTTCTTGATAAGAATTATAAACATAAAACTTATACGTGGTAGGAAGGCTTCACAGAGTAAACTTTTCTTACCTGGTTTCCTTAAGTCAAGACTTTGAGTCACTTAGGTGATTCAGATACAAAGCCCTTGATGTCAAGGAGGTGGGCTTCTTTTCTCTAGGACAAAAATACAAGGATACATCCCTTGATTAAAAAGGCTGTACAATGACAGCTGAAGGAGTTCACTGCCACAGCCATAGTTCAGTTCTCCTCTGCACCTCCTGTGTCATTTACCAGTCACAGCCAGAGTACTGCCCTCGTTTAGCCCCGTGAGTCCCACAGACTTCTGGGAGAGGCAGGAGAGAGAGAAAAAGAGGAGCTGGGGTGCGGAGCGCCAGTCACTCAGGTGTAATGACAGAGAAGGTGAGGCCAGGCAGAGCAACCTGAGGCCTCTCCAGCGTTCCGGCTTGGAGCTAAGCTCCCTCTGTGATGTTACCCTTGTGTCCTCTCCACCTACTCCCCTACCATCGCAGGGATGCGTGTGCCGGCCTTACAGGGGAGCGGCGTGTGCTTAATTATTGCCAGCTATTATTATTCATTCCAAAGACCACCATCAGCATCTTTTTTTTTTTTTAATTAAAAACAATTGTTCTAATGCTTATTTATTTTTGAGAGAGACAGAGACAGAGCTTGAGCGGGGGAGGGGCAGAGAGAGAGAGGGAGACACAGAATCGGAAGCAGGCTCCAGGCTCTGAGCTGTCAGCACAGAGCCCGACGAGGGGCTCGAACTCACAAACCGTGAGATCATGACCTGAGCCGTAGGCGGACGCCCAACCGACTGAGCCACCTGGGCACCCCACCATCAGCATCTTTTAACAGAGAAAAGAGATACGGGGAACTATCAAACCTCCCCTCCACCATGCCCTCCACTTCCCTGAACCTCAACTCCACACTCTCCTCCTCAGGGAGTTGTGCCCTGACTCCCACTCCCCCTCACCGGCTCAGGGTGCTGCACCCCTGCAATGACCCTCTTTCTCTTCTGCGTTACCCTCTACTCCCTCTCTGCTGGACCATTCTCATCATCTTGACCAGGAGCTCTACTATCTCCCAATGGGGAAAAAAAAAAAAAAGCAAAATTCCTCTCTAAATTCATGTTCTGTCCAAATTCTGCCCATTCCTCTGGAACCCCAACACAGCACAACTCCTTGAGAGCATTGCCTTTATTATTTAGCCCCACTTCATTTCACGTTTTCTCTCATCTTACTCAACCTCTCTGCAACTTTTGACATGGTTGACTACTTCCTCCTTGAAATGCTTTCTTCCCTAACATCATTCTTGCCCGCACTGACCATTCTGTTTGTTTCCTGGCTCATCCTCTTCCCAACCTATAAATGGAGGAGGATCCTAGGACTCAGTCCTTGGCTCTCTTCCTATATGCTCTCCTTGGGTGATCTTACCCAGTCCCATGGTTTTAAGTACTATATATTATACATGCATGTGTGTGTATAACTATCTTCATATATACAATATATGTGTGCGTGTGAGTGTGTGTGTGTGTATACATTATTCCATATCTGTAGGCTTTTACATATATAAGCTTGTGGGCATATACATAGATATACACACATGCTGATGACCCAGGGCAGATCTTGTCTGCAGCCCTGACTCCTGTCCTGAGCTCCAGGTTACTCGACTATTGAACATCTCCATTTGGATGAATAAAAGGTATTTCAGCTTTAACAGAGTCAAAACAGAAACATAGATCTTCATATATCCCCAATCTTTCTTTTAAATAAGTTTTTAAAGTTTGCTTATTTATTATTGAGAGAGAGCACAAGTTGGGGAGAGGCAGAGAGAGAGGAAGACCCAGAATCCCAAGCAGGCTCCAGGCTCTGAGCTGTCAGCACAGAGCCTGACGCGGGGCTTGAACCCACAGACTGTAAGACCATGACCTGAGCTGAAGTCAGACACTTAACAGCCTGAACCACCCAGGTGCCCCCCTATATCCCCAATCTTTTCCTCCACAAGCTTTCCCCATCTCCCTAAATAGCACCACCATTTGCCCATTTACTCAGGGGAAAAATCTAGAAGCCATCCTCGGTGCCTCTCTCCCTTGAACACTCTACGTTCTATCTAATCAGTCCTGTTACCGTTTCCTCCAAAATGCATCCACAGCATGACCTTTTCGCACAACCTCTACCACTACCACATGAGTCTGGGCCACAGTCGTCTCCTGCCTGGACTATTGCAAACACCTTCTAATTGGTTCCTCACCTCCGCCCTCATTCTCCTGTCATCTATTCTCCACATGGCAGTGAGAGAGACCTTTTAAAATTGCAAACCAAATGCTATCCCTCCCTGGCCTACAATTCTCCAATGACTTGTGGCTGAAAGATGAAACCCAAACTCCTGACCATGGCCTACAAGATCCTGTCTGATCTAGCCCTTTGCCTGCCTCTTTGACTTCATCTCCCCCGACCCATTGGCTTTCTTGTGGGGAGGAGCATCATCCCTTGGACATTTCAAGCTCTTTGCAGACTCAGGTCTCCATATATGGTACTCCTCTTCTTGGAACTATCCTCTGTAGAGGTCCCAAGAGCCATCTTCTTCCCAACATTCAAATGTGAGCCCAGATGCTCTCCCTGCCTGCAGTCACTGTGCCTAAAGTAGCCACTCACCACGCCTCCCACCCAGCCTCCCATCACTCCATCACATATCCTGTTTTCCTTAGCATTGATTTCTACCAGAAACCATCTTACCTGTATGTGTTTATTGTCTGTCTCTATCCACTAGACTAGAATATAAGTCCTTGGAAGGCGGGGACTTCGTTTTATTCAATGCTATGTCTACAGCATTTTGCATAGTAATTGGCCCAGAGAACATGCTCAACGAGTATTTATAAACTCACTAATTGTCAGGCATTATGTGACAATGGTGAGTGACCATGTATTTCTTCAACAAACACTGTGCTAGGTGTCAGGGACACCGCAGTGCCAGGACTGTGCGGTGTAACAGGGGAGGGCGATATGTGGGTGATGGTTAAGAGCACAGATTCTGGACTCAGACAGCCTGGGCAGAACCTGGTTCTGCTAAACTTCTTGGCTATGTGACCTTGGCTAAGTGACTCAGCCTCTCTGAATCCCAGTCATTCATCTAGAAAATGAAGATAAAAATGATGCCTATTCTCAAGGGTTCTTAAGAAGATTTTAAGAGATCATTCACACAAAAATGCGTAGCACATGGCAAACATTCAATAAATGTTAGCTTTTTTATTATAAGGAACAAGTATCGTTTTCAACCATGATGGCACTGTCTTCTTTTCCCTCATATCTGGGAGGTCCGCCTTACTTTAATTCCTAAGCCTTCACCCCAATTTTACTTTTAGATTCTTACACTGATGCACAGCACTTTGAGAACCTTTCCATAGCTTGTCATTTGATTTCCGCTTCTCTGAGGGCTTTAGAGGAGGCAAAAAGTTGAGGGAGGGAGGAAATATTAAAAAGCAAGGACACCCCCCAGGTCCCTCATCAACATTGCAGTTATGGGTTGGCCATCTATGACACTGTGCTTATTGCTATCGTATGTCCTGGGTGTGGGCTCCAGACTTTGCTGGAAGTCAGAGTTCTCCTTTAAGCCCAGGAGGCTGAACCTGACCCACAGGGTAGGGATGGAGCAGGAGCCCACCTCCATTCCAGCATTTCTCTCTGGGTGCCTCAGCTAGTGCTCCCTTGGCAACCATTGTTCTTTCTGAAGGTCTGAAGTGCATCATCCCCCTAGCCTCTCCAGAGCAGGTGGCTCCACACAGAACATGGTCTGATCACAAGCTTATTTGATTGGCTCACACACTTTTTAAAAAAAAATTTGTTTGAAGATTGAATATGTAGAAACTAGGGGAATTTGGGGCGCCTGGGTGGCTTAGTCGGTTAAGCATCCAACTTTGGCTCAGGTCGTGATCTCACGGTTCGCGGTTCGAGCCCTCTGTCGGGCTTCCTCTGTGTTGACAGCCTGTATTCGGTTTGAGCCAGACTGGGTGTGTGTGCCCTCTCTCTGTCCTCCTGTGCCTGTCTCTGTCTCTCAAAAAAGTGAATAAACATTATATGCTAACTAATGTGGATGTAAATAAAAAAAAATAAAATTAAAAAAATGAATAAACGTTAAAAAAATTAAAAATTAAGGGAGCTTGTATAACAACCTAGACTTTTGGCCTCTCTTGAAAAATTGCAACTAGGGGCGCCTGGGTGGCTCAGTCGGGTTGAGTCTACTGGGCTTCTCATCACGACATCTCATCGGTCCCGTGAGTTCAGCCCCGCATCGGCTCTGTGCTGACAGCTCAGAGCCTGGAGCCTGGAGCTTCAGATTCCCAGGTTCTCCCTGTCTCTGGCCCTCCCCCCGTTCATGCTCTGTCTCTCTCTGTCTCAAAAATAAATAAATGTTAAAAAAAAAAAAAATTTGAAAAAAAAAAGAAAAATTGCAACTTGCTGCCACCCTGGCCTGACTTAGTGACGGCCCTGGTAGCCGGACGTGCATTCTCAGTTTCCTACTCTACCTGGCTGACTTTCCTCATTTACCTTGCCCCCTGTAGGCATTTGAGTCTTTGGCCACTGCTCCAAGTCAGGTCTTGGGAAACTGAAAAACCATGCTAGATCCTGGTTTTATAGCAGGCACCTGTCTGGGATAAGGTGCTAAAAATATGAGGCACAAAGTGATCCCTGGGGTTCAAGTGCTGTGGTCAGGGGTAGGAGGAAAATGAATCGATTGCAATGAAAAACGGACGGAAGAGAAACGAGCTGATGACTGATTTTGTATATGATGTGGTCCATATCCTGGAGGACTTACAGAAGACATGAGGGGGGAGGGGCAGTGGCCAAAATGTAAGATTATACGGGTACCAGTAGAGAAAACTCACTGCTTGGTCTAGATCATCTTGAAAGCTGCCCACTCAGCAGGAAAAACTAGCTACAGAGCAGCATTTTTCAAACTGAGGCCGCAATCCGTTCATGGGTTATAAAACCAGCTTCATGGGTCTCGATCAGCATGTTTGTGTATCACTGTGTAAGGGCCAGTACTGTTTTGTGAAACTTTTGTGAAACTCTTGGTATATAAACACAGTCAAGAAGTGTGAAGCCACTGAGGCTTAGGGGAGAGAATGGATACATGTTGGCAGGTTAAGGGGCAGCGGGTGTGAGATTCTGAGCTTTAGAGAAATCACCTTGATGTTTGGGGATGATCAAAGGCTTTAGGATCATCATTCTAGTCCTAACGCTGTTATTATCTGTGTGGCTTTAGCTAATTAACCTTTCCGAGTCTCAATTTCTCCATCTGAAAAGCGATGACACTGAAACCCCCCTACCTTATAGTGTTGATACGTCTAAGAGACTACGTACCCCCAGCCACTGGCCCTGTCTTATTCATGTTAGAACAGTATTTCAGGTTGTTCATATATCACCCCTTCCTTCCAGGGGAGAGAAGAAAGAATTACCATTTAGCATTTAGTGTGTCTGACCCTGTGTTGGCCACTCAACCGGATTTGGTCAACACTGAATTTCAAATGAGCGTAGGAGATTCGGTAGTGCTTCCAGAAGTTCTGACATAATTAGTGTAGAAGCCATTTTCTTTATGTTGGAAGACTTTCATCGTGGACACAGAGAATTCCAAACATTCCAACTATCCAAGGCCATAGGGCATGCTGCGAGGGGTGCCCCAGTCCAGAGACCTTAGTTGGGGTGGTGGCGCCCCAGGATGAACAGGGAACGTGAATTTCCCTCTGCCTCTCAGCTTCTCTGCACAAGGTTGCTCTGAGAAAGAGTCTAGGGCCTCTAAAGTGGTCCAACCGGAAGGGGAGGAAACACCCTGAAGCCCTGTGTGGGTAACTCTGCCCCTCCCCACCCCATGGGCAGGGCTGGCCACACACCGTGGGAACTGCCCCACTTGCCAGTGTCTGTTGGAGGCTCCCTGGGGACGGGGCCCAGGCAAGGGCCTAGCTCCTGGGCCCCACACCCTTCACACCCAGGTCAACCAAAGCGCTGAACCCTGGATCCCCTTGGTCTGAGTCAGCAGAGAAGGGATCCCAGAACTGGGGAGGAAGAAAACATGGGAAGGAGGAGAAGATGGGGATTTAGTTATCAGGTGTCTCCCCAGGATCCAGACCCAACTTCCCAGGGACAGAAGCCCAGAGATGAGACCCTTGTCGTGGGATGAGCTGATCTGAAAAGACAGTCCCCACAGCTGGGGGTAGGGCAGAATAGGGAACACAGAAGTCCCACACAAGAGACAAGTCTAGCAGAGGAGGAGGGTTTGCTGGTTCCTGGGAAAGGAGCATGGCAGGGAATGGGGGAAGATGGGTTTATCCCACTATGTGGGCTCCCCCATCCCCCACATACTGATCAATTGTGAGATCTCTTCCTGCTTCACCTGAGCAACCAGATGCTTCTCCTGTCCTGTCCAAAGCTCCATCCTCAGCCAGTAGGAGCTACAGACACTCAAGGTCACTTCCCTTCCCCTTGAACAAATATTTGTGAAGTTTCTACCACGTGCCTGGTGCCAGGGCTAGAGACCATTCATTACTCCTTCCCTCCAGCGGCTCCAATCCGGAGGAGAGGCGGGTGTAAGGGAAGAGGGCAGTGTTAAAAAGACAAATCCCGAGTTATGATTGCAGTAACAGAGAGTAGTAACGAGACGCTGTGGGAGTACACGAAATAAATAAAACAGGGAGGCCAAACAGGCTGCAGCTCATCTCGAGATCTCATGGATTGTGGGTTTCCACAGGGGACATCTGACACCAAACATTCCAGGACACCAAAAGTGGTGGGGGAGGGAGAAGATGGCATTGAATCGGAGGAGCTGAGACAAACTGTGAAGAGTCTGAGGAAAGGCCCGTGCACTGGGGAAGTTGGGGGGAAGGGAGAAAGAGAGGAGAGGATCAGCAGGGCTGGGAAGGGAAGGGTGGTGTGAGAAGGGGTGCAGTGTTTGGAGGGCGCAGACACTGGGGGTTCGGGGCGGAAGGCAGGCGCACCGCAGACACCGGGAGCCCGGGAGAGTGGTCGGAGGCCGCGGGCTGCGGAGGGGGTGGAGAGCGGCCCCTACACGTGCGCTACGTGCTGCGCGGGCCACCGCCCCCTCCCAGGCTGCTGGGGAGCCGGGCCGGCCCTCCGTCCCGGAGCCCCGTCCTCCGGGAGAGCGCGGGGGACTGGCGGCTGGAGGTGGGAGGGGAAGGGAGAAAGTCGCTCTCCTAGTTCGCAGCCCTGGAGCGTGGTCGTCCCGTCGCCGAGACCGGAAGGAACGCGGGGAGCGCCTCATCACCAGGCGGGCGGATCTAGGGGCGAAGGCTGCAGATCTGGGGCGCAGGCCGGGGGCGGGGCGGGCTCGCGGAAAGAGGCCTGCGGACGGAGGGGGCGGATGAGGAGGGAGCCCCCTGAGGACGTGTCCAAAGGATCTGGGGCAGCACAAATAGGGGTAGTTTGGTGGACGGCGGCCCGGGTGGGGCGGAGTGTTGTCCAAGAGTAAGGAGGGGGTTCCTGGAGACGTGGCACTCGGAGCGGGGCTTGGTTCCGCTCCGGCTGCCTGGGCTCCAACCCCGCTCTCCCCGAGCAAGCCAAACCGGACCCCGCCCAGGCCTCGCTCCCGAGGCCTCCGGGAGACCCAGCCCCGGGACCTCCGAGCCGGGGTTGCCCAGGTCCGGCCTCTGGGGCGTCCGGCCAGCCCCAGACGAGACAATGCGGCCCCGGCCCCGCCCCCGGAGGCTGATGCGGCCCTGGCCTTGGCCAATCACTGCCTGTGGCTAGGCTCTTTAAAAAAAGAAGAGCCGGCCGCGGTGTGGCTGTCAGCTGGGGAGGGATCCCTCCGCCCATGTAAACACACATCATAAAGGGCAAGGGAAGCGTCTTCTGCGGGGCGGGGGGAGTTGTCGCCTTCCCGGAGAGCCCTCTGGGTCCCTAGGTTCCCCTGACTACCCTGGCAACCGCCCCCTCCCTCAACGTCACATCGGGTCCTCGGGGAGCCAAACAGCTGCTGCTAGATCTGGGAGCAACAAAATCTCATCACTTAGGGTCAATACCGGAAATGGAGAGAGCTTGGGAGTTGGGAGCGTGAGGGAGTTCTAGTACACGGCTGAGGATTGGGAAAGATTATCCCAGGCCCATTCTTCCTGTGCACCTCAGTTAATAGTCATTACTGATACAAGTCTAGAATTTTTCTCAAAGTTATACTTATCCGGCTTGAAGGATGCCAATGTTAAGTGTGAAAATAGTCTTAACGTTCTCCCAGGAAAGAGCACATGACAGGAAATCAACTGCAGCAAAACCCTCAAAAGCAAATACACCCATGGCAAAGAGCAGCAATGATTCTTCTCCCCAACATTTTATTATGGGAGAATTTAAAATATTCAGCAAAGTTAAAAAAATTTTGCAGCAAATTCCTCTACACCCACCACTTAGGTTCTACCATTGACATTTTATTATAATTTTATCTCATCTCTATCTTACATTGATGACTTTTTCTCTAGTAGGATGCCAGCTGCCCCTTGGCTTAAGTCTCCGTTGCAGTGGGGAGCAAAAAAGGTTTATGTAGGTCCGAAGCCCTAGAGAGCCAAGAAAAGGAGTACCTTCTGCAAGGCCCTTTTTAAACAAACAGTTTAAACATGGGGCCCCAAAACACGGGGCCAAGTATCTCTGGGAAGAGTTTGTTGAAGAGGAGGCTTCTCTCCTCCCCACTTTTTAACTTGAAGAACCCTTAAGGATAAGAGAGACTTCTTTCATCTGGGTGAATCTGAAAACAGAGCTAGGACGCTGTTGGTCCAAATGATACTTCCATGGGTTTGGCTGCTTTCTGGATGAAAGAGATCTTTTTAGTGTTGAGGTCCTACTTGTTAAATTTCCTCTCTCCCCTTTCCTGGGCAGGACACTAGGCACTCACCCTACATACACACACCCCACCCATGCCTCAAAAATGTTCTTAACTTTTAAAATTACTTAACCTCTCTGTGCCTCCATTGCTTGCTCTGCAAAATAGGGGTAATAGTAGTACCTACCCAACGGGATGGTTGTGTAGATTCAATGAGCTAATACACAAATACACGCAAAGCATTTACAACAATGCTTTCACACAGTATTAGATTAGCATTAGATAATTAATAGCTATCAGTCATATGCTAATAACTCTAGATTTACATCTCTATTTCTGATCTCTGCCCTTCGGATTTCTACTATTCAGCCTGTTGGATATTTTCAACTGTACCGAAGAAGACACGTCAAACTCAACATATCCAGAAGTGAACACATGATCTCCCTCCTCATACCTCCTCATTTATATAATCTAGGGAAATGCATTGGCAATGCCCGTGCACCAGCAACCATTCAGGCATGTACCTAGACACCTGAATCATCCTGGATACTTTAGTGTCCTTCCCCAATTTATCACTATGTCCTAATTTTATCTCCTACATTTGCATGCATTCTTCCGAATGAATAGCACTGCTGCCTTAATTTAGGCACCATAGTTTCTCAACTGGATTGTTTTTAAAGTCTTTGGCTTCTCTCACGCTCAACCTTGCCATTATTTTGCTCCCGGACCACTCTTTTCTCTGTAACACCTCTCATTCCAAAAGATAGAGTCTCTATCACTTGTTAGCTGTGTGAATTTGGGCAAATTGCTTAAACAACCTGTGCCTCACTGTCCTTATTTGTAAAATGGAAGTAAGAGTACCTGCCTCAAAGGGTTGTTGTGTAGATTAAATGATTAATTATGCAAAGCACTTAGAACAGTGCCCAGGATATGCAAGTGCTCAAGAGTGTTAGCTTATTATTAACATTATAACTAGTGTTTTCTCACCTCCATTTTGTTCTTACTTTCAAGCCGGTCCCCCTACTAGAAAATCCTTCCCCATTATGCCAAATACCTTCGGCCCCTCCCCAGGTTTTACTAAGTGTATATACTTCTGTCATGGCACCTACCACAGTGTACTGACATGACTGATATAATCCATTTATGTGTCCGATTTTCTCCACCAGAGTATTAACTTCTTGAGGGAAGGGACTCTGGCACGTAGTAAATGGTCAATAAATGTTAGCTCCACTGGACCGTAAGGATCAACTTCATCCCGAGGCCGAAGGCCCGGGCCCCGCCCGATTCGGGGGCGGGGCCGGGAGCTCGGCGCGGGGTGGGGGTGGGG